ATAATTCTGTGTGTAGACATACTGTAATCTAATTATCTAGAATCGTTCAGTACACGTCCAAAGTTATAAATAATGTCTGTATTAATTTAGATATCCGATATAAGCTGAGTTTTATGAACTGTTATGACTCATGCATGATAGCTGCTGCCGAAGGGTATTTGAGCTCGGCAGATAGTTGAATAAAAGAAGAGTTATATAGTTGTTTTAAGGTAGAAGAAAAGGCGTCTAAATTCTTGTGAGGTAGTTTAGGGATACTGAATCCCGGAGACTATAATAATTTAGAGATTTGTTTTACGTTATCTTTGTCACGAAGCTGGTTTATGACAATTGCTCAAAGTCCAGTACACAGTACCAAAAATTTAATTGTAATTAATTTCGTAGACAGCAGCTTTACAGGTTTACAATCCCCTAGCGAGCATATGATGTTCTGTTGGGCATAATAAATATGAAGTAAGATCGTATTATAAAGAATGGTTGTTTTTTCTGTGATAGTTCGAAAATGTGGTACAACAATAAAATTTATTCGCCATTAGCTTAAAAAAACTATAATTTCTAACGACTTAGATTTAAGTTTTACTTTTAGCTTAAAATCTATTTATTACGGATAGCTTGATCGTGGTCTGTATAATCTCAAGAAATTCTATTCTCAGATGCTTCATAGACTAGCTATAGATTCTTGCTGCAATCAACATCTCAGCATAACGTAACATTATCGTTAAAGCTACCGAAAAACTCTGTTATTCCTACTGCGCAGACTGTTTGCCTTATTAGCTTAGAAATTGCCACAGGCAATTATTTTAAATCTTATAAAGTATCAAATAATGAATATTCTCTGGCTAGAAATAAACCTTTTTTTCCTAATCATAAAAAAGCTTTTCCATCAATATAAGCCGAATGGTTCTACTCTTACGTAATCTTAGGTTTCATGCTCAACGTAGCAAAGTTCATGCTCATTGTTCTAATTTCTATCGTTATTAAATTTTGGAAGACAAATCAGTGTGATCCAAATAAGCTTTGTTGTAACATAAAAGTAAACAATCAATCGTAACTGACCAATACTATTATAAAACTGCTTATTATAACCAGATCATAAATATATAATTGAGTGAGTGACCTTTATGTCTGTAAGCTATGACATTAGTTTTATTACCAATATTTTATAGCTTCTGATTTGAAGTAGCTAGAGACGTAGATCTTCGAACGTTTTCAAAATTATTCAAGTTAAAGTAAAATGTTTTCTGCATTCAATGTAAGTGCGAACCTGTTTTGAGAAGCATTGCTAAAAAGAAAAGAAAAATCAACAGTACCGATACATGCTTCAAGGTATACTGTTTTTTCAGAAAAGTTCTAAAATTGCTTAGGTTCATACGTTATCAGATATTTCTTCATGTAAACAATATCAGTAAGAAAGCCATGCCAACTATGATATCGCGTTCATAAGGGAACACCTGATAACGCCAGAATCTAATAAATTTAAAACTTTTCTAAAATCGATATACGCGTACCTTAGCACATTCTTACTAGGCAGATTCAGAATGCCTAAATTGGATAAAAGTCATACTCAGATATTTTCCAATTATAACGCTGTAAGTGTATTACACTGTTGACTTTTCCAAGCTTCCTAAAGTTTAATTAATGCTATACCTTGGCATAATTCATAATACGTAAAAGGCGTTTCTATTTTCAATTATACACATGAATAACGTTAAATAAATATTTGTATAAAATTAAGAAGATTGACAACAGTATAATAAGGTAAAGATATAATCTAATATTTAGCTATCATATAGAGAAATTTGAAATACTGATCAATTTCATACTTGAAGTTGTCTTAACAATCAGCTCATTTTAGATCATATGCTTCAGCTACCTATTTTAGACGTATAACTGCTCTATCACAGGACCAGAAGAATTTAATTCACTAATTTTAGTATTTCGTCAAGTCGCGATAAGATTACAACCAGTTCAAAATTAAGTGTTTTCTTAAATTATAAATTTGTTACTAAGTTATTCGATATTTACGACATAGACATTAATATTTAACTTGTTGTTAAGATTTCTCACATAATTTAAATTTAGATATTGTGCAGCCGTTATAAAATAAGAGCGATTGAATTACGTACTCTTAATTATCATTTGATCAGGCCTTTCTTGATTCGTTAAAAAAGAGCAAATGTCTAGATTTAAAACTCTTTCTTGCTGAATTTTAAGCTACGAAAATAAAACTCTTAAAGGAGCTCTTAATTGCTATTTCTGTTAAAGTTGGTCATAATATTCACATAACCGTAAATAGTTACATTGTAACAATGTCTTTGTGTAAAATGTAATTGAACTGGAAGTATTATCTTGTTAAGACTTAAGAATGGGAAACTATTGCTAACGTTAACTTATTAACAGCGGGCAATTAAAGACGTAACAAAAATAAAATAATTAGATAGTTTTAGGAAATACAATTGCTATCCAAAATAAAATACAGTATGATGGATAAATTATTTGTTTAGATTCGATGATACATTAATCTAGCACCATCAATATTTTTATTATGTCTCCTTTAGATATTCGATACATTTTTCGATGCAGAATTTAAGGTTAATGGAATAATCAGTTACAGGAGCTAGTTTTAAAATGTAAATTAATATAGTAATTTTGTACTTATTGGATAAAGCAACGAAGACCGTCGATTCCTATCAAAGCAACCCTTATATTGCTTCTTTAACCATTTATTAATTCTACTCCTTTCGTTCAATAAATAAAATACACGTATGAATCATTTATGAGTGGCAAGGCCAACGTCAAAATCAACAAGTTTCTGAAATAACATGTGCTTAGACGTAATTAATCATTACAAACTTCTTTAATATAAGTCGTCAGTTTATGTCAAGTAATGACAATGCAATCGCATTGAAACTATTTCTGTATCTTACTAATAATAGACATAATACTAGGCCCTTAAGCCAAGTTAATTTGAAACAGGAGTTGATTTAAGATATTATGCTATTTGCGATTCANAACATTATTCATTTAGCTCATGTTATTGTTTAAAGAATTTTTACAACTTACAATATCTTTGTTACATAACTGTTTAAGAACTGTAAGTAATAATCAAATAGCTTATGGAGATTAATTAGATGTAAAGAAATGTCGTTATAAGTTAATCATCACCTATTGAAATTGTATTCTATAATAAAATGGTATTTCAATACAGTCAATTGAAATACAGTCACAACCCCTTAAATTAAACAGCAAACCCTAGGGCGAAGCGTTTTCCGCTTATTAATCGAATAAGCATATTCGATAGGTTTTTATTTTTGCAAATATACGATAATATATTGCTTTTTGAGTACGTTTTTATTTACTTTATTTACTTTTAAAATGTTTTTCTTAAGATAGTTGTCTCATAGGTTGCTTTCAAAAAATCTACTCTAGTCAGTATCAAATTTATCGAATTCTTCCCTAGACTCAAAACCTTTTCGTTCCAGGCCACCACGTAACCTATCTATTTCACTGTTTTATATGTCACGAGTTGGAACCTTCGATACCTGAGTATTTGGTAATCAGTCGATATGATGGACTTATAAAATAAATCCTTGGGCTATTGTTATGTAGAGTAGACTAAGATAAATCTAGGATTGAACTAATTTCGGGGCTTAGTACCGTAAGGTTAATGAGCGGCGATGACTGTATTTCTTTTTAGTATTAATCAGTAAAATCAATGTAACGCTTATAATTAGGTCCTTGTGATTAGGTCCGATTACGAAAATTCCAAAGTTGTAGAAAATTAGAACTTTATTGGATCTAATACAAAGAATAGCTACGGATAGCTCTATTCTAGCCGAATATAGCTATTGAAAGACTTCTAGAAGGAACAATCAGATAATAATCTAACGTCTCCTGCTTTTATACTCTCTGTAGCCTTCGCAACTACAATCATATTTTACATATATTCAGCTTATTACTATTCAAAATATTTTACAGAGAACCGCTATATTTTATTAATCCAAAATAGAAATGATTACATTATTTTCGTAGACATTATTCCTACCTCTCAAAGTACAATGAACTAAGCATATCCCAATATATGATTTACAATTCTATTTTCTACCTCTAACCTTATTAGTAGCTTTATAAACACCTTACCGTATATAGTCATCTGTACTTTAGCAAACAATCTGTCCGTACAGTCTATAATTATGGGCTACTTAATATATCATAAGATAAATATAGAAAAGACACTACCGTACATCAAATAAACATGGCTAATGGCCTAAAATCACAATAATAAGTTATTTCACAGTCCCTTCAGGCTTAGAATAATCAGCACAAAAGTAATCTAATTGTTCTTTACCATCAAATTCAGGAATGTAAAGCTGTGTTTACATTGCAAATCAATAGCATTTCTTTACCTTAAAAAATTATAGATTTCTTTGTTGCTAGTCGTATAGAAAATTTTATTTTTTCTTGATAGATCACCTGTTGGTACATTTGTTTAGGGATGTTTACCTATTGCTGTTTTCAAAGTCTGATCGAATCTATAAATACCGCCTATTAGAAACAGCTGACTACCATTACAAATTTGTATTTTAACCAAGGTCTAACGGTAATTCAAAATTTTCATTCGGTAAGTCTCTGACCTAATCTTTGATTTTAAACTATCAAAAGGCTTATAAAGTCAAGCACGATTTTAATTCTCTTAGTTATGTTGTCCTGCATCAATAAATGTTCTAGTTTGGTTAACATGGTCTGAATCATTTATGGTGATACATTTTTGTGTATACTGGTTTTTGTAAGATGTACGGTAATAAGAGCAAACTCTTAATCAAGAAGCAGTATATTAGGCATGAAGCGTAGCTGTTTCACGTTAAATGGTTGCCTACATAACGATATAAATATTTATAGTATAATATAACTGTAGTTCTATGGTCTTAGTACGGGCTTCTTCAGTGCCTGGAGAGTCTAAATCCCCAACTCGTGCCACGTTGTATAGTTAAACATCATTTAGCATGATTGGTAAAATATTAGCAAATAAACGTAAGTTAAGCTGCTGTACCACAGACTTCGAATCGATTAGAGCTAGTGTGCTATATATCGAGTAAGATAAATAATACGTTACATTTGTTAGACTATCTTACGAGCTTTCCAAGCTCATTCCATAAATGAGCATATTATCAATACAATTAAAATTAACGCAACTGTCACAACCACAGATGTAACACAGATAGCTTTCCCTATTAAAATTATTGCTAGTTCTAAGCTAGAGGCTACTAAGTGTTTGTAACCTTTGCACCTTGTGGTACCGCCTTAGTCAGCTAAATACGGGTAACTAATACAATAGATTAGAAGCAGCTATTCAAAAACGTAAACGAATTTATTTTACTCTGCAGTCATAAGAATAGTTAGTAACAATGTTACTTGATGTACAAGTAAGTGTGTAACTAATTACAATGTCTTACTAATTTTCTCACAGGAAATTGTGCATATTTCTTGTGATATTTCACTTTCTCACATAAATTACTTCGCCTTCTAAATTAGCTAAGGCTACCTATATTCAGTCTAACTATCTTCAGCAAACGTAACTGACAATTAATTTTGTTGAAAGCTAGCCAAGTCTCATGCATCTAGCTGTGCATCAACAGTAATTTATAAAGATTTACCACAGATGTTATTCCTAGTTACTTTTATAAATTTGGGGACTTTTCTTGCTTCGCACAAGTCAACCGGTATTCTTACACTCCCTACCTACTGGTAGTAGATCCTTAATCTACAGATTTACATTTTAGATATGAAAGAAATGTTACGTGCATTTATGTAAAAAAGAAGATTTATTTCGAAGGTCAAATCTCTGGTACAAATCGTGCCTTTTGGTCCTATTTTTAAGATCCTTCATTGACATATTAAATTAGTTAAGAAAAAGGAAAAGTAATGATTTTCTACGCTATTTGTGAGTTTAAAATTGTAGCAGAGATCTTTATAGCTTGCGATATTTCAGGCTTAAGTAATTTAACTAGAGATAACTTAAATGAGAGGCATGGAGGCTACTTTACACTTTTTTGTAAATGTGAATATTTATAAGGATATGAATACAAGCGTATTTGGATATTAATCACCGGTATTAGCCAATGGAGAAACGATAACCTTGCAATATTTATAGTAGCATAGTTGATGTTTCTCGGTAGAACAAACCACACGACTCCATATCTGATTACGGATAAAAATCCACGATAAAACAAGTCCTGAAACTGAGAGATGATATTCACTTTCCATTCAATATTTGCCATCTCGTTATTAACTTAGATTTGCAGTATGAATTAATTTCAAACCTGTCTTTGATATTTATCTGCAATAGTACTTAGAACAGTAACGTACTTCAATCATTAGAAGTGCGTAGAAACTAAAATCCTCTATATTATAAATTCATTAGATTTATTACTAAGGCCTAATCTGAAGCATATTTAAGAAAAATTTCATAATGGTTTATCGCTATCAATAGATGATAATACTATAAATGTACGCGTTTAGCTATTCAAATAAGTAAATTGTCGTTAAAAAATTACTCTCACTAAGTTCAGAGACTCTTCATCCGTTGACAATTATCTTTATGGCTAAAGAGCTAACTTGTAAAATTTATTATGTATTGAACCTTTATATACAGACCTCACGAAAGAACTAATTTATCTTATACGATCTTGCAGATTTAAAGATTTTTGAGAAATGTTATGGCATACCGTATATCATATGCAGTATTTAATACGATGTTGTAATCGATAATACGTAAATGATCAGTAAAGTAATCATTGATTGCTTTAATTTTGGGTAAATCAGAATTTATACTTTGTCACAATCGTAATTCTGCACTAAGGACAGGTATTATCATATGGGGAGATACCTGTCATGGCTCACTTTCACCTGTAATTTCATGCGGAATGTTGAGACGTGTGAATAAACTTATCTGTAATTAACTATCTAATTGTACTGTATAGTCGTTAGTCTTCCGGCTGCTAAATCATATCGTAATGCAAAATGTAGCTAGTAAGAGGTACTGTAGTAGTTTTCAGTTCTTGTTCGTAGGTCTATGTGGTTTCGTTCACAGGTAAAATGTTCGATTACAAATAACGAATCATTAACAGTTATTACTTTTAGTGTGCTGTCTAACAAAATTGCCTAACAAGTACCTAAGCAGAATTATTTCTGCGGTAGTATAACGAGGAAGTAAACTAATTATATTAGCTTTCTTAGTACAGTTTTAATATTAACATTACCGATAAAGCGTAATTCCCGGCTGTTATGCGTAATAGCTGATCAAAGCTCGGAATAAGAATAAAAGTATTTTAAGGAAGATTATTTGCTAAAGAGGAAGCAAATAAACTTCTTATAGTCTTTACAGTGCATCCAATCAAATTAAACACTTTCGTAGGGTAATAAAATGGTTAAATATGATGAACATTGTACTTATAGGCACTTGCATAGCCAGCTAAAGCTCGAAATTTTAAAAATTTTCCTCTTATTCGGGTTTTAGCCGTGGCATTTATATTATCTTATGACTGATATAATAAAAATAGTATTCTATTTTATGTAATCGGTTAAAAGCAAATTGCTATGGTTGCTAATTTTTATTTACCTTTTAATAGCAATGAATACCAAGATCATATTGATTGCTACGCTCTTCTGTGCCATTGTTCTTGCAAATGCTGAACAAGATAAATCTGATGAAGAATACTCTCCAGAATTCATGGATGAGGAAAAATTAAGTGAGTTGGCAGAAGAGAATATTATTGATGAGGAAGAAGCTCGCAAAATTATGGAAGCGAAGGTAAGTTAAGGAAATATTATACAAAATGATTAGTTTCTTTGGGTACCGGTACTACATGCTTTGATTAATTATATTATTAAGATCATCCAAACAGCTATTCGCTTTAGCCTTTATCTAGTCATATTGCAATTTTAAATATATAATAATGACAACTCCTGAAAAAATTAGATCAACGAACATCTGAGATTGCAATTTTTGATAAAAAGACGGACATGTAAACACATACAAAGAATCTTTTTTTGTAATAGAGATTAATTTCATACATTATCTCGATACTTCAAATATCATCAAGCATAATGCATTGAAATAACTATATGATATTATAAGTTAGCACTGAAATAAGATGATATTTAATGTAAATCTTAAGGTCTGATGGCAATTTACACGAATTTATCCAATATGCGTGTCATGTGAAACGCAGCCTCTATTTTAATTATCTTTCCAATTACAATGAGTTTGGACGAGCGTAATCACATGTACCAATGTTTTTAATAATTGTAGAACTTTGCTAGAAAATTCTTGTCTATTGGCTATACGTATATATCAAATATCATTGACTTTGAAATATTAAATGATACAGCGAATAAAAACAAGCTATGTTTCAAGATTGCATGGAATATAGAATATTTAAGAAATTAATTCATATTTTTTTTCTTATTTCCCCTTTATAACTCGAACATCATGGTTTCAAATTGCATTACAGCTTTCAGTCGTAAGTCTCAAATATGTATATATGACTTTATTATTGTGATACTTTGATAATTAAATTTGTTCGTAAGAGTTAACTTGATAGATCAGATATTATGAGCTATCTAAAATTAAAATATCGCAATATGTGTGGCAAATCGACTTTGTGACGTAATAACTGTTAAATTAAGAATAAAGAACTGTGCTAATTATACCTTTTCTATCATCTATACTTTATGATACCAACATTATGGCTCTAGTAATTACTCCAATTTCAGAATATAAATCTTAATTAAATGATAAAATTTGATTTTGTTTGTATGATAGCTTAATAGTTAAATTTGCATATACTATCACGATATTAAGGATATTATGATCTATCGAATACTATAAAATTATATTGTATTCAATTTTAATTATACTTTTTGTATTACTTACACTATATTTTGACAAAATTATGGCTGTAACGATTACTCTGGTTTTTAGCATTAAATCTCAAATGATCTTGTCTGACTTTGTTTTTATGATAACTTAATAATTAAATTTATTTATATTATCTCGATATCACGAACTATCAAACAAAACAATACCATAACGTCTTTATTGTATATTTTCTGTCATTTAAAATGTATGATATCGACATCATCGCTCTAACGAATATTCTAATTTCAGCGTGTAAGTCTTAATTTATTATATACAATTTTTATGATCGTTTAATAATTTATTTAATTATATATGTGACTTTATGTTGTCAAAGTTTAATATTAAAATTTGTTTATAATATCTCAATATTTCGGCTATCACGAACTATCAAATGATAAAATATCACAATATGTTTATTATAAATTTTCTATCATTTATACTGTATGATATCAACATCATCGCTCTAACGATTACTCCGAATTCAGCGCGTAAGTCTTTTATAGTCATATATTGACTTTGTTTTTATGATACTTTAATAGTTAATTTGTTTATGTTATTCAATATTTCGAATATCATGAACTATCAAATACCATAATTTCGTAATGTGTGTCACAAATCAACTTTGTGATAAGATAAATTTCAAGTACAGAATTAAAAACTGATTAACGTATTCATTTTTTATTATTTACACTGTATGATATCGTGATATCAATGTTATCGCTCTAACAACTACTACAATTTCAGCGTGTAAGTCTTTAACAAACATTTATGGCCTTGCTTTACAATAGTTTGATAATTGAATTTGTTTACATTATCTTGATACCTCCAATATCAAGAACTATCGCTCACTATTATATCGCAATAAGTATTGCAAATTAGCTTTAAGATAAAAAACTTTCAAATACGGAACTAAGAACTGATATAATTATATATTTTCTATAATATATACTATACGATATCAACATTATGGCTTCGGCGATTACTCCGATTTCAGCGCGTAAGTCTCAAATAATTATATATGATTTTGCTTACATGATAGCTTACTGTGATGGCTAATTTTGTTTAAATTATCTCGATAGCTCAAATATCTTGAAGTATCAAACACTATAACATCTTAATTTGTATCACAAGATAACATTAAATGCAGAATTTGCACGTTGATTTAATAACACATTTATATCATTTAAACTGCCTGATATCAACATTATGGGTCTAGTGAGTTACTCCAATTTCAGTCCATAAGTCTAAGATAATCACATGCAAGTTTACATCTAATATTTTTATAGCGAATTTCTTCTATATCAGCAATTATTAAAGACTCAAATGATAGACTTTACTAAAAAATAACTTAACGACAAGATATTGTAACATGTGAATTTAATTACCGACTTCATTATGCAGCATGCGTAAAACACATAGTTACCTACGATAACTGCAAGTAGCGGTATCAATATTCTTAGCTCGTATCAAAAAGTGAGCTTTATGCTTTAGTGATTATTTATTAATTTAGATATGAAGTAATAAAGTTCTTGCAGAGATAGTGCAGACGAAATGTGCAATATATTATATATTTTATAGCGCACCTTACATAAATTATAGTATAATTTTTTGTGCATCGATATACCCTTATATATTTTGATAACTGCAGTACTCTTAGTTTTTACTAAAAAGTTAATTGTATAAATTTTTTTCCATTTTTAAAATACTATCGTGACCTATTTTATGGATAACTAGACGAAGTCCTTGGCTAACTCGGTAAGAGATAAATCTGAATTTTACATAAAATATTACACTGTCACAAAACAGCTTTGTAATAAGATAACGTTATGTACGATCAATAAGTCAATTCCTTTATCCACGTATCAAGGAACGATATCTGCACTATCAGGAATATTTTTGCTCTACTAGTAGACTACACAAAGACTCAGACGCCTCGTATTTTACGTTAAACACTTAGTTTAAGAATTAACTTTATTACACGATATATTGCGTTTATATACTCTTCCTCAATAGTTCATGAGTCATAGTTAGTACGATTAACTTTGAAATCATTCACTGAGTTAGACATTAATTTTGCTACTGCTCCCTAATACAAACAACAGTATTTACAAACATATACATCTGATGACTAAAACAGAATAGTCAGATTACAAATATGTTCTATCACGGAACATTTCCACGATAATTTACGATCTAACATAAGTAAGTTACAATTACAATTAGATGTTAACTAAATAAGGATGGGCTAATAATATTATCCTAACACAGATATTTCGACTCTAATACAATATATAACGCTATCACATACACGTCTTACGAATACACTTAGATCCGG